TAAAAGTGGTGGATTCGAATATGTACGCTATACGCCATATTGTTTGACGTCTTATAAGGCGAAATCTAGTATATTTATTTAGCAGGATTACTACACAACTTCGCAAAGTATCCTGACATCACAAATTAAAGTGACTGTTGACAATCCTTAAACATGCTTTCTTGCTCAATTTTGATTTCTATGAATATACCTTATGTACATGTCTACCCTATTCTGACGACACTTTAGATGTAAATTTCAAAATGGTGTGAAAGAAATAAGAGCTAAGATGCTAGTGAAAATTGATACTATTTTGTTACAATTAGCAGTGAAGTTCTGATTCAATACGATATCTGTACCAAAGTTTGGGGGCTTTTTAGCAACTAAGTTAATAAATGAATCAAAATTCGCTTTTAATTGCCATAATTAATTAAACCATTGTTTAAATCTCTAGGTACGGGTCAGATCATTGTCACAACGCCAGACCGTTCTTGGCTCACTGATAATCCGTGCTCGGTTCCAGTGGTTCTTGATAGGCTGACCGCATCTGAGTCAATGCAATTGTTATCACAACTAAGTGGCGATATCCCGCAGGATCTTGCTCAATTTGTATCAGAAAAATTGAAACTACAACCGCCTCTTCTTGTATCGGCAGCAAAACGCGTAGACCTTTTGTCGAAAAGAAAGAGGAAACCAGTTGGCGAAACATGGACGGAAGTACTGGAGAATATAAAAAGTCGTTACAAGGAAGAAGAATGGCCGTATTATATTTCAGCGTTGGATGAAAAAACTCGCACTTCACTGGAGTCTGTTGCTCTGACGGTTATCGGTCGAAGCCTTGTCATCGAAGAGTGTTTCCATTTACTAGTGTTGGCAAAAGGATCTTATTTGCCTCTTCAGTTTGTCACTCGATTTCTTGCAAGTAGCTTGAACCTTACAGATAAAGAAGTTGAACAGACACTCCGAAATTCACCACTTCTTCACGTACATCCTAACGATAACATTGCCATCAGTGGTGTTATTTACAAAATACTATGTGATATGTTAGCTTCAGCTGTAAGAACAGAACGCATGATCCGCCGTTTGAGAGGTCTATGCAAATTTTGTGTTTCAAACACACATGATTCCGCTATTGGGAAAGTATTCAAACTTTTGTCTTCAAAGATCATGCAGTATTTAGCATTGCTGGATCTCTGCTTTCCAGAATGCGAGGAACAGAGAAGCCTTCACTATGATTTAGGAAAGGTTTTCCTCTGTGTTCTGGTTGACTATAGCTCGGCTGTTCGTTGTTTCACAAAAGCAATTTCGATATTTGAAGGATCAAACGATATTTCTCATCCGGAATATGCGCAGCTGTTGGCCAGTTTGGGAAATGTTCTACGATTAACTGGAAGCATGGAAGATGCTTGTAAGTACCTGAGCAAATCATTGAAGATCTTGAAAGTAGTTTTGCAAGGAAACGTCACAGAGGATGTCGCAAGTTGTTTGAGCAGTTTAGGCCTAGTGTGTCTCTCGCAAGGTAAGAGAACCTACATCTGTTGTTTATTAATCTTAATGCCCGTTTATACTTGCAATTTTAGGTGCGATGTTATGTGTGATTTTCCTCTTTTGGTGGATGTGAACGAATGACTAATTACGAATGCTCTGATGTGTAAGAGCCCTTATTTGAACTTCCTTAACTAATTCACTCGTTCACATCTATCGAAAGAAGAAAATCGCACATAAAAACGCAGCAATTTCAGTTAGTAATACCATTTGATAAAAACGGTGGAGTGATGTATGAAAAAAATGTGTTGACTTAATTTATTGAAAATGTGTATTAGGCGATTCTCCATTACGTCTGCTCCGCCCGCGCGGGCGAAGTCCGCTTTGTTTTTCAGGCCGGTCACGATCGCATGGACAGATTTTCATCGCAGGCCGCTTCGTCCGCTCGGGTGAAGCGGACGGTAATGGAGAATCCAAATAAAGATTTGGGCGAATTAATATTGTGATGGTGCTAACTGGGCAAGCTTATAACTGAAAATGCTTGCTTGTCCAGCTAGTTTTAAGTTGGCGAGTTGGTTATTCAGAGTAGCACCAATACAATACGTTCAGGTCCAGTGGCGTAACTAGAACGATAATTGGGGGGGGGGGGGGGGTGAATATTCATACATCCAGTTCTACGGATTTGTTTTGTAAGTGCAAAAGCTTACAATAGAAATCCGTTGCCATTTAGGTCTCTTTCTCGTTATGTTTTGTATGCTGTGAGGCAACGATGTTATTTTCTCTGCTGATTTCTGGGCTTAACATTTATAATTGGAAGTTCAATGGATAGCCACCATACCTAGTATTAGCTACCATTTTGACTAAACCGTCTTTCCTTTCATTCAGGTAACACGGATCGAGCCAAAGAGTTGCACTATCGCGCTTTGGACATTCGTGAACAAATCCATGGCAACGACCATATTACGACAGCAACCAGTCTTAACAACATCGGCGGAGTGTACCATGAGTGTGGCGATTTGGCAACAGCGAAAGATTTCTACTGGAAAGCACTTGAGATAAAAGGTCGAAACTACGGTTGGGATTTTCCTCACGTTGCCAACAGCTTTAACAATATTGCCGAGATTTCACACGAGCAGGGTGACCTGTGTGGTGCGATATCCATCCACAAACGCGCATTGAAGATTCGTCAGCGTCTCTATGGTGACGAACACCCGGATGTTGCTAATAGTCTGAATAACATTGGGATTATACATCATCAGTTGGGGGAGCTGTCCGCAGCAAGGAATTATCATAACAAAGCATTGAATATTCGAAAGCGTGTCTATGGCAAGGAGCATCCAGAGGTAGCATGCTCTTTGAACCGTTTGGGCGAAGTTTACTACGATGAAGGTAATCATTCTTTGTACTGACTTAAGTGTACTTCAGTATTTTGCGTTGTAAAATCATATATATTAGAACTTGTAAAACTTATAGTTACTAAAACAGTTAGTATGTGACAGTTTTATGTACAAGGGTGGAAATTTTCTTCCAACCAATAATTTATTCTCCTTTTAGGTGACTTGGCAGCCGCAGAGGATTGTCATACCCAGTCCCTTCGCATTCGACAGCACCATTCAGTGACGTCATGTCATCGTGAAGTTATTTCAACCTTGCATAATCTGATGATGGTATACATCGCGGATCAAAAGATTTCCAAAGCAACGGAATATGCTTACGACGTGTTCAAAGTTTGTGAAAAGATACACGGTATGCGAGATCCTAGGACGGTGAAAGCTTTTAGGAAATTGACGGAGCTTTCCAAACGACAGTCTCATGGACAGGGATTTGATTTATCTGCAGCTGTGCACGAGCAGGTTGAAAGATTGTCGTCTCTGTAACAGTACAACGACTTTTCACGAAATTTCCTGTTCCGACGGCTGTAATTCAACACTATTTTGTGGGGATTGCTTTGCAGTCAGTTGAACAATGCTACAGTCAATATGAATTAGAAAATAAGAGAAACGAAAATGGATGATTTTAGATAGTTGAGGGAAAATGGTAATGTGGTTCAGAGATGCATTTGCAAAACGAAATACTGAAAATTGGGGATAACGTATCCTAAATGCGAATTCAATTCACTTCTGACGTATGGAATGTAGTATGTTATTGATAAAGCAGTACTGCATTGGCTTCAGTGTATTTGCTTCTCATAAACATCATAAGGCGACAGACTATAAAACATCCATTAGAAGTGAATTGGATCCAATATAATTGGATGGTGTGAATAGACCTTAATATTACTAAAAACTAATTAGATTTGTGACGACAGTTTATCACGAAATATTTTTGGACTTTTTTACCTTCTGACCATGATTATCAACTCTAAGCTTACGTTTAAGCCCGTTTTCCACAAGGTAAGCGAGAAGAGGCGGAAAGACTAATAAAATTCGGCTAGGCGTTAACGAAAAGTATAATAGACCTTTTTCATAATGACGTCAAACGCGGAAAGTGTGATGCTACACCAATCTTGATTTGTTCGATAGTTTTGTGGAGCCAATCAAATTTCGTGTAACATCAGACTTTCCGCGTTTGACGTCATTATAAGAAAGGTCTATTGCTGGAATCATTTTTTGCTAGTGAGTCACTTTGCTGAATATACTTTCGCAAGTCGACCTATAACTCGACCTGGTGAAAAGCGCGGACTTTGAGGTTGTGATTGCAAATAGTTTTAATGATGTGATGATGCTTCTAAATTGCAGTTTAGATCTGTTTATGGAGATAACCTTGTTCTTTTTATTAGTTTGTGTTAATAACGAATGTTGAAGTTAGTGATGTCATGTATAAAGGCGGCGAGTGCTGCACTATGCAACTTTTTTTGCAATCTTGCAACTGAAAATGCATTTCTACTCCTGAGGCATAACAACTAAACGAACATTCTTACGAACTTCTAACGTTTTCATAGCACTTCGTAGACACTTTACAAATTATCATCCCTCAAAATTATTGCATTATTGCATTGCAATTTGCAGGAAAATTTGCTTATTGTTTGATCAAGACTTAAAGCTATTAATAATGTGTTAATTTTAATGATAATTGACGTTTTGCAAGTTAAGCCTAACTAGGTAAATATTTAATAAACGTATACTCTTTATATTCACAGACTTCATTCCTGGGTCCACATGTTACAAAAGGAATATAGTATGCAGGGGGGGGTTCTCGCATTGTAATTACAAGCAATATTTTACAGTGCGATAAACGGTGGTTAAGTTAAAAAAAAAGCAAGTCAATCGTTTTATTCAAGAAGCAAACTAAATGTTTTTAACTTTAATACAAAGATACTGTTCATAACTACATATTCAGTGCACAATGTTCAAGTTGAGAGAGATGTAAGAATGTTATTTAATTTTGACTTATCCGCCGTTTAAGCTAAACGGGCTTGATACAACCGGCCCCTGATAAACAAGGCAGAGTTCAAACGCACAGCTAAGTTTCATTTCAGCGAATGCGAAGGGAAAATTGTTTTCTTTAATCGGCGAAACCTGGCTATTTGTATGGTACTTTCATACTTTCAACTCGAAAAGTATTTCTCGTTCTCTTTGTAAATGACACGATAGTTATGAAATTTTCCAGCTTCATTCACACTTCACGCGTTTATGTCAAAACAGAAAATCGCCACCGTACCATAGTGCAACATGGAACAACGATTTATCTCAACATTTAGTCGTAAAAATCTAAAATTAATTCGCATGCGTTTTTTGTAGCATTTTGGGTACTGGCGAATTGCTTCTAGACGATACTATCTACAGCTAGCCGCCCACAAAATACAAAAATTTGCAAGAAATAAGACGACCTCCCGCTATTAACCTTTTATACGCACAATAAAATATGCCAACGATCCGTGTAATGAGTTGCAAATATTTTTTGAAGCAAATTCTTCATCACAAAACATATACGGACAGTGAAATTCATTCAAGTCACCTCTTGGTAAAAGTTTACATCTCTTTTCTTTTAAACAAGTAAGTAGATCAATCCAATATATTTCTAATATGGTCCAATATGTGCTTCAAGGAAAGCAAAAAGTAAACTAAAAAAGATGATTTTACCCGAGGGAATATCAGAGGCAAATTAAACAAACATTGCACGCAATAATTTTGTTCTCCAGCGAAAAAAATCATTTGAATTATTGTATTCTTCGCTATTAACTAAACTTACTGATGTTATAACTAATAGCCAGGAAACTCCTCATTTTAGCAAAACATTATAAGGCCAATATAAGTTAAGCGATTAATGTTTATATAATTTTATTGGCCTCGCCAAGTGTCATTATTCTGACGTCTGAGTTATTTCATGACACAGATAATGGCATCGAATCTAGCATCTGAGCTGGTCATAAGTACTGCTCTACAGTATGAAATACTATTACACACCAGTACTGTTAATACTGTTAGTATTGCAAATCCACTAGCACTCCAGTTACACTCAACAAGTGATTAATGTCTGGTATAATAACCACTGCATGTATTTCATATTGGTTTTCTTAGGAGTGAGAGCTTTCCAATGACTCTTTATTGAGAAAACTTACTTAAAATCCTATAATACGAAATATACAAAATGTAAATCGTATATCCGTTGTGTTTAAGAAATAATTGAGTTGATAAATATGGGCTTCATTAAAAAGTTCTCATTGGTTTCTTAAGAAATTATATACATGGAGTCTAGTCAATATTTTATTGAAGCCAGACATATAATGCTATTAATTAAATAGGGCATTGTTCATTAAGTGTATTGCAAACATGGCATCATGTCCTGTTGATCATAAAATGAACATGCATTTCAATATCTTCGAGCAAAATCGCTTCTAGAAAAAGGTATTTAAAGTATTTATAATTTTGGCAGGAGCAGGGGGGTCATGACAATTTTGTTGGTCTGTTGGCCGAGATTTATATTTGTACGTCAGCAAGTAATAGCTTATTAACAGACACTTTTTGACCTGTACACTGTAAAAACAGCTATCTCAGGTATATAATTAACCAACATTCATCCGTTAAAACAATCACGAGTTTTGTTTTATTTAACCAAAGTTCTGAAAGAAATGACAATAATTTATATATAATTATATCGTATTCATGCAGACCCGTTTACACGTGCAATTTCAGCTGCGATTTCATGTTCGACTCCTTTTCTTCATTATATATGGGAAAGAGTGAATTACTTACGGTTGTTCGGCAATAGGAGCTCTTAAACATCAAAGCATTCGCAACTAATAAGTCCTAAAATCGGGCAAGACCAAGACTAACTATAAAGGAAACATGATTACCAGTCTTTACTCGATCATAGCAATTTTTTCGTTGCTAATTTCTGTGGCAATCTGCGTTTCTCCCTGCATCATGCATGTTAGCACTATCCACCCTTGGCTTTGCATGCTCGTCTCAAATCACAAATGTTTAACTCTTCACTATTGACTTGTCATAAAGACGCCTATCCATTGCAAGTCGATTACATATTAAAGCCAAACATTTAACCTTGGGGGTGAAAAAAGGTAGCCTGCTCGGAGGCTGAATTAGGGGGCCGGGCTAGAAAAAAGGAAGCAATCGTCCCGCATGTAATAATGGACTGATAGTGTATATTCTATATATTATATAGCTGTGACCATGTTACGCCAATTTGCATACCTATTATTCCTGGTTTTTCTCTTTGCCACGAACAGTGTAAAAGGTAGGTCAAAAATTCCATTCTTGCTTCGAGCCCTATCCATATACACATTGGATGAACTCATAAAATCCTATGTTACTATGTCACCCCCTTCCGACTCACCAATTGCATTTTTCATTCGTTCTAATTAAGTCAGTTGATAATGAGAATTCCCTAGATGACTAAATGTTTTAACTGTTATTGACTAAATGGTTTTCCGATGATATAAATCAACAGCCTCTCTGCATAGGCTTGTAATCACCCAGCCGGAGGCGACTAATTGTTTAGTATAAATTTCGAGGTGTTTCACCGGCCAGTGACTATCACTTCAGAGACAGTTAACTGATCTTGATCAATGATCAATCAGAAAGCAGGAAAATCAATAGTCTTCCACCTCGAAATTTGTACAAAAAACAATTAAATTGAGATTTGTATGGTTTAGATATTTTTACTTAAATATACATGAAAACTGCCCAGCCCTCACAGATACATTATGTAGTGAGTCACTCGTGTATCTTTGACATTATTTTAATTCTTGTTTCATCCACACTTTGATAGCTGATGACTACAATGATAAAGTTATAATTATAATATCAGTGGCTGCCGTCTTGCTTGGATTATCCGTCATTTTACTCATTCTCGCAGGTTGCGGGATTTATGCTTTGTAAGTATATGAGGAGTTGACTGACTATAGTATGCATCATTTTTTATAGCACATCCGAAAACCAGTTATTCATTGAAATGCAGCAGCTATAGCTTCAAGACTGCATTTTATTTTTATATAACCAAATTTTAACGTTGACGCTCTATTTTGTCGTTAATTTAAGTCAGGCAACCGATTATTGGGAAAATGACTAATTTCAGACATAGATTACACCATACTAATCAGGGGATGAGGGAAAAAAATTGCTAGATCATTAGTCAATAACTATATAAGATAAGTAAAACAATACCGTCTTTGACTGTGGAAAAATGAAAGTGAAATTAAGTTAGGTAATTAATCAACAGTTGCATATTCGCTATGTAACATACATCATTACTTTTATTTATTTTCAGGAGATACAAGGAAAGAAAATAAAAGCATAATTTAGAACGAAAGAAAGACAGTCGAAGACAATCGTTAATTAATAAATTTGCGTAGAATAACAAGCATTCTATGGCGGAACTAAATTTATCCACTTCAAAAAACATAATCTTGTTAAACTTTCATACGACATTATACTGTTAGGAACCGTTAGTTTAGTTTCATACTGCAATTGTCAGTATGTAGTATATTTGTGTTCAATAATCATTATTCATCAGTTTCATTGATCTACGAAGTCATCCGTGATTTTCAACGGCGGAAAATGAAGCATCTGTTATATTTTGGGTAAGCAGTAAAATGCAACACCATAAATAGGCGCAAAGTGCAGGTAGTAAATGGGGAGTTGGGCTATCATTTAGAGACACTGAGTCATTCACACAGAGCCCCGGACATTTGTACCGTTTACGGTATGCTTGATGTTGTCAGTTGTATTGTTCCAAGTATATAGAAACCCAAGTGGAGAATTTCGGGTGCGAAGTTCATAAACATAGAGTCTGATAAAAAGAGAATAAGGAAACTGCAAAAAAAATTTTCCAATTTATTCCAACTTTTTTTGCTCTGATATTGGGGCCATTCAGGCGTTCAAAAATTCACGACAAGACGCTCCGGGGCAGGGACTGCTTTAGACACGGTTGGTGCTTTTCTACCCAAATCGGCCATAGCCCATAGTTGAAGTTAACTGGGAGTCTGGTTTTTGCAGTGAACTGGTGTTTGTGCCGCATATATATTGTGCTGCATTGCAACAACCACATGAAGTATTAGTAATAGTTTTTAAAAAACTGCGGGCTCGCAGCACGTTGAATTTACCATTTGATATGGCGGGTTTATACTGTGCAGAAGGTCTACGTCTTTGGTCGTAATTTTTTACTTTTCTGCTCGTTTAACGTACTATAATATTGTTAATATGTCTCGCAGAAGTGCCAGGCTTGCCGTGAAATCGGTGAGGAACGAGCGAAAAGAAAATATTGCAACTGAATTGGAATCAGGCGAGCCACTTACGGCTACCCCAAGTAAAAAAAGACGTCCAAATCTTGGCAAGAAAACAAAACATGCAGCTGTAAAAGTCAACGAAATTGAAGAACATTCAAAAAATCTTGAGGACAAATTACCAATAAGACAAGAAGTTGGACATAAACCAAGTCATATCAAAACTGAAGATCAAAAATCTCTTAACAAAATTACCAAAGAAGAGAAATATGTTGGTGCTCATGTATCTATTAGTGGAGGCATACATTTATCAGTTGAGCGAGCATTGGCCATTGGAGCAAAATCATTTGCTATGTTCCTACGGTCACAGAGACAGTGGAATGCAAAGCCTTTAAGCCAGAGTGATGCTGATCAGTTTCGAACTACATGTGAAAAACATGGATTCTCCCCAGATGTGATTTTGCCACATGGCATATACCTTATGAACTGTGGTTCTCCTGACTCGGAGACCTTGAGTAAAAGTCGTCAAGTGTTGGTTGAGGAATTACAGAGGTGTGAAATGCTAGGATTAACATTGTATAATTTTCATCCTGGTTCAACTTGTGGTAAAATATCAGTTGACAAGTGTTTAACCCTTATTGCTGAAAGTATTAACCTGGCACATCAGCAGACAAAGTATGTCATTGCAGTGTTGGAGAATATGAGTTGTCAAGGAAACACGGTAACCAATTATTTGTTGTACGTATTTTATTGCCTGACACATTTAGAGTGTTGGATTTTTGTTTGACTTCACCTTCTGTGGTATATTTTTGTTTACTGTAATAACCTGGCATTTGGTTCCTATTAATAAATAGGGCCTGACAAGAAACCTGTCTAAATTATAGGACACCTACATTTGTTTTTAGAATAAGCGTGAACGTAATTGGCAATTCACAAGAACACTCATGTAACTACTAAATAGCACAAAACATAGAGGATTTTCATTTCATATATACTGCAATAACTTTTTATGATGTTTCATTAGATAATATGTTGGGTGTACATTTTTAAATGTCAAAATTCAAGGCCCTTTTACATGTAGAGGAATTTTTTTTCTCAGTCTGAATAGCAAAGAACAATTTAGCTAGTTAGGAATCATGTACGTTTCAATATAACCAGGGAGCAGTACGTGTGGCAGCGTCTTCAAACAACTTAGCATCAAATGTGGTATAACAACTGCCTAAAATAGACAAAACACTTCTCGACGTTTCAACCTGAGGGCCTTCATCAGGAGAGTTAGTGTGAAAGTAAATATCGGAGAATACATGTTTTGTATGGGAACAAACCATTTTCATCACATGTTTTGCCCCCATAAAAAGCATGTATTCTCCCCTATTTACTTTCATACTAACTCTCCTGACGAAGGCCCTGAGGTTGAAATTTCGAGAAGTGTTCTGTCTAATTTTACATTTGATGCTAAGTAGTTAGAAATTAATTTTAACCAAATAAAATTATTATCTGTGTGGATCCACCCATTAGTTTCCCATCTATCAGATGAATTGGAACCCTATGATTTGGTCAGGTATTTACTTCAAGGGCTTCATTCTAATGTTACCTACTGCATGTGCTGAATCTAGCCTGGTTTTTAGGGATCTCCTGGGTGTGAACCATGTGTCAGGAACCTGGCAAATCTAGAACAGTGCGGGAACTGTAGTAGAAATACCTTGATACAATGACACATTTTCAATGCATGTGCCCCCGCCAATGATTAGTTTTAACCTTGTTAATAGTATGACCTTGTTAATCACTAGGACCATACATAGGCTCACACAAATTGGAAGGAGTGGATGAGCTAGAATTTCCAAATGGCAAATTTCAATATTTCAAATTTCAAATATTTCAATATTTCTTGACATGCATCAAGATTACTTAAGGACACAATCCTAATAAAATTGAATTTTCTGAATATTACGTAATGGAATAAACTTAGGGCGTGCTGCACAATTGCCCCATCCAATACCTCTTTCAGCATGGTCCTGTTAATCATCAATAAAGTGAATGCCCAGTATAATCAAATGGCCAGCCTTTGGCCAAATTAAGGGACAGAATAGAGAGCTGGAACTACTCTAATAATGTTATGTTTTATTGTTACTAATATTGATTATATTTCAAGTATACACTGCCTAATACACTGAATAGATCATCAAATAATATACAACCAATATTCCACTTAATTTTTACTATGATATTATACATACTTCAAGGCTACTCTTATGTTTTTGGCATCCTGTATGTATGTATTGTACTTATTACAACTATTTCAACTTTAACTGAGCATTTTATACAATAATGGAGGTGTTAAAAATGTTCCATGTTTTCTTCATTTCAACAGAAATTCCACCTGAATAGAATTTCCACGTTCACAGTGCAATATTTATCAATTATTGGACGAGGTCGAGCAAAATATCGTGATTTGTCGGTGGCGAGCAGATCAATTATTTGCCGATGCCGAAGGCAGAGGCAAATAATTGATCTGCGAGCCACCGACAAATCACGATATTTTGCGAGAACCGACTGTAGCCTTTTAATTAAACAGACCTTTTTGTCATGTATAGATATAACTTGCAGCAGGCTAGAAAACGATGTCGATGTTTGAAAAGAGTGGAAAACGAGGATACATGAGGATTAAGGGTGTTTGACATTTTCGCAGTGGAACAAGATCATTCTAAAATAAGTCCACAGAAAGTCAATAACCTGCGCGTAACCACGGCATAGTCCTCTGATTATTTATACCCAATTATACAAGAATTCCTAAGACGGGGGGTTGCTCCTCTCACAAAAATCAGTAGGAAGTTTACGATTCACGACGCGGCCAGCTCAGTGGCATTTGGTTCCTATTAATAAATAGGGCCTGACAAGAAACCTGTCTAAATTATAGGACACCTACATTTATTTTTAGAATAAGCGTGAACGTAATTGGCAATTCACAAGAACACTCATGAAACTACTAAATACCCTGGTAGCACAAAAATTAAAACATAGAGGATTTTCATTTCATATATACTGCATTAACTTTTTATGATGTTTTATTAGATGATATGCTGGGTGTACATTTTTAAATCTCAAAATTCAAGGCCCTTTTACATGTAGAGGAAGTTTTTTTCTCAGTCTGAATAGCAAAGAACAATTTAGCTAGTTAGGAATCATGTACGTTTCAATATAACCAGGGAGCAGTACGTGTGGCAGCGTCTTCAAACAACTTAGCATCAAATGTGGTATAACAACTGCCTAAAATAGACAAAATACTTCTCGACGTTTCAACCTGAGGGCCTTCATCAAGAGAGTTAGTATGAAAATAAATAGGAGAGAATACATGTTTTGTATGGCGGCAAACCATTTTCTTCATGTGTTTTGCTCCCATACAAAGCATGTATTCTCCCCTATTTACTTTCATACTAACTCTCCTGACGAAGGCCCTCAGGTTGAAACATTGAGAAGTGTTTTGTCTACTTGACATTTGATGCTAAGTAGTTAGAAATCAATTTGAACCAACTAAAATTATTATCCATGTGGATCCACCCATTAGATTCTCATCTATCAGATGAATTGGAACCCTATGATTTGGTCAGGTATTTACTTCAAGGGCTTCACTTTAATGTTACCTTACTGCAAGTGCTGAATCCAGCTTGGTTTTTAGGGATCTCCTGGGTGTGAACCATGTGTCAGGAACCTGGCAAATCTAAGAACAGTTCAGTAACTGTAGTAGGAATACCTTGGTACAATGACACATTTTCAATGCATGTGCCCCTACCAATGATTAGTTTTAACCTTGTTAATGGTATGACCTTGTGATGTTAATCACTAGGACCATACATAGGCTCACACAAATTGGTCAATTGGAAGGGGGGGGGACGAGCTAAGATTTCCAAATGGCAAATTTCAATATTTCAATATTTCTTGACATGTATCAAGATTACTTAAGAACACAATCCTAATAAAATTGAATTTTCTGATTATTACATAATGGAATAAACGTAAGTCGTGCTGCACAATTGCCCCATCCAATACCTTTTTCAGCAATGCCCTGTTAATCATGAATAAAGTGAATGCCCAGTAGATCAAATGGCCAGCCTTTGGCCAAATTAAGGGACAGAGAATAGAGAGCTGGAACTACTCTATGTTTTATTGTTACTAATATTGATTACATTTCAAGGATACACTGCCTAATACACTGAATAGATCATCAAATAATATACAACCAACATTCCACTTAATTTTTACTATGATATCATACATACTTAATACACTATCTACATAAATGAAAAAATATATACTGAATTTATTATATACCACTTTGAACTTTGAAATATGATTTTACATGTACATATAAATCACAATTTAGGGGGTTTATTTCTGTATGCATTGCATTTTATAGCCAGATATTCCCTTGCAGCATTGCAGTTTTATTGACAGAGTATAAAATGTTTCAGCGATTCCACAATGTAGTATACAGAAAAGTGTAATAAGTTTATTACAGATATTCAAGGCTATTTTTAATTCTTATGTTCTTGGGATCCATATGTTTTATATATGTATTGTACTTATTACAACTATTCCAATTTAACAGAGCATTTTACTGTATCTGTATAATAATGGAGGTGTTAAAATTTTCCATGTTTTCTTCATTTCAACAGAAATATCACCTGAATAGAATTTCCACTTTCGCAGTGCAATATTATACACTTAATGTATGCCTCAATCAGATGGATTTAGTGAGTTTTCCCGAAGGTTTTCATCCTATTTCCAGAGGGAAATATAATGTGTTGTAATCATTGTTTTTTATATAGCAATAAGAAATGAAACCTGGTTGCATTCTGAAATATTGTTGGAACTACTATATGATTTTCATGAGGAACTACTGTAGCCTTTTCATTAAACAGACCTTTTTGTCATGTATATAGATATAAGTTGCAGCGGGCTAGAAAACGATGTCGATAGCTACGATTTTTACTTAATAACTCGCAATCTTGCAAATCGTCACGCAAAACACAAAATACTGAGTAGCAATATTTAACTGCACCTTACTGTAGTAGCATTTATTGTTCTTTTTTAAAAACGATTTCTTAAATAACAGAACGGGAGGCCGTTGGCCAAACACACCACATACACAAAATACAGATTTTTCAGCCGCATCTACATGCACGAACGTCTATTTCATATGGTGACTAATTTATATCACTCTTGCATTTATTCTCGATATTTGTGCTAGCATCGTGTGAGAAACATTCAAATGTTAAAACTTGATGGATGGATCTTTTTCTTTCGTTTCAGGTTGGTGGAAAATTTGAAGAACTAAGAGGTATTATCGAAAAGGTACACGATAAATCTCGTGTTGGTGTTTGTCTCGATACTTGCCATGCTTTTGCCGCTGGGTATGATTTCAGAACAAAAGATGGCTATGAACGTATGATGAATGACTTTGAAAACGTCGTAGGTTTACAATATTTAAAAGGTGTTCACTTGAATGACTCTAAAGGGGAGTTGGGCTGCCATCTTGATAGGCATGAAAATATCGGGAAGGGAAAAATTGGATCGAGAGGGTTCGAGCATCTGATGAATGATCCGAGGTTAAATGGAGTGCCTATGGTGTTAGAAACTCCTTGTCAAAGCGATGCTGTTTATGAAACAGAAATTAATTTGCTGTATTCCATGCAAAGATGTGCTGCAAGATGAAACTGTAAATACTGAAACGCTTTTCAGCGTTGTTTAGACCGTATTTTGTTGGTTTCTTGTTGGAATTTTAACCAAAGTGATCTCGTGATCGCCTCTGTAGTTTACCACACTGTATTTTAACGGTTATTCCTTTATGTTTTTCTAGGAAATTGTAATTTTTTAATAAATTTCTATTCTATCAATTTTCCAGCGAGATTTATTAAAAGACAAAGACTGCGCCCAGACTGAGTGCTCGGCACTGGTGTCCGGGCTTTTTCTGGCGCCTAATTTGAAAATGACACTTCAAATTGAAATCGGGCATGGTGCCCAAGAACGGCCACTACCTCCAGAGGAAGTACTCAACAAGGGCGCTGTGCTCAGCATGTTTTATGAACCAGTTTTGACTTTGGGCACCGGTGCCGGGCACTCAGTCTGAACACAGCCAAAGACTATCCTTTGTCATACAATTTATCCTATCAAGCGTTCCGGGAGGGAAAAGAGTGGAAAACGAGGATACATGAGGATTAGGGGTGTTTGACATTTTCGCAGTGGAACAAAATCATTCTAAAATAAGTTCACAGAAAGTTAATAACCTGCGCGTAACCTCTGCATAGTCCTCTGATTATTTATACCCAATTATACAAGAATTCCTAAGACGGGGGGGAGGTTGCTCCTCTCACAAAATCAGTAGGAAGTTTCCGATTCACGACGCGGCCAGCTCAATGAAGCACTTGCAAAACCAAGAAACATCACACGCGAGACAATAGCTGTGCATTATTCCTGGTCCTATGATAGCGTTGTCATTCTTACGACGCCTTCAAATAAGGCATTTTCACGGCTTCTCGGTGACATGAAAGTAGCGACAACGTGATTGCTGTTTGATAGCTTATATGAAACTGCAATGTCAGCCAGACATTGGAGGTTCTTATCACAATTGATTGAAACATTTCTATGATTATTTCAATGTCCTGGCAGCGTAATTAATTTCCCGTAGCTTATTTCTAGCAAACCGCGTGGTAAACGGTACAATTTTTCTTGCAACTTGCAATGCAATTCTACTTTTGAGAGATGTATATTTGGGAACAACGAAACAATCATGATGTTATGTGGCAGGAAAATATTTGTGTTTGGTACTGTGGTACATCACTTAATTTATAGGGTCAACTTGCTGATGTTTTTGTATTCATTATTTTGAGTACTTTTTAAAAATTTAATATTCAATTTTTACGCAGAAATCACTTTAAACGCACTATACTGTATGTGACTAATGTTAAAAGCGACTTCTTTCATAGACTTCGATTTTATTAGTATTTATCAAAGACTATATGAAAGAAGTCGCTTTAACATTCGCGTATTTAACGCCAGCAAGAGAAATAGTCTGCGACTTAGAATTTTTTCGTGTCATGGCTCACCCCTATTGACTGAACGCAAAGCATGGTTAGGTTACCTCTACTGAGCAGTCGGCTCAGTGTGATAAGGTGCCGACTTCGGTTGGTCAGATCCGGTCTACGCATGCTCACGTAATGCGGACCTGAATCCAAGTAACTGAGAGTAGTGAACTTAAGCAAGTGACGTTTTTGACAACACGTACGTTGACCGGAAATAAATCACAACCACCAATCACAACCCTTGAACCAGTCTTTTGACGTAACACATGCCGTTCGTGTTGTCAAAAACGTCACTTAATTGCTTAAGCTCACTATTCCATGATTTTTACCGTGCGCTTGAACATGACCATATATCGCATGGAATTCTGGGGTTTTTATTTGGTCATCATACTTTAAGGGATCATCATAAAAAATTAGAGTCATTTTTTAAATGCATAAAAACGATCGATAATCTATTTAACATAATATTTTTTACCCTGGACACGTTGAAAAGGATATTGTTTTGGTAATGCAGGAGAATTGTAACCCAAAAAGGCCCGCGCAATAAATCATTAGTCCCATATAATTTATTAATCAACGAACAACTAATTCCATGTATTTTGATCAAACTTAAACTAAAAAGCGCAACTATTAACCGTTTTTTATGCAACTGTAAATATTATAGCAATCAGCAAAATAAGTAAAGCAAGTTAACATGAATTGTCTCAGAGTTTGAGTATTTCAACAAGTATTAACAAAGAGCCAATCAAAAGAAAGCTGGCAATAGGAGGCATGCCGAAAGAATTACCAGGTTTGAATTTTGCGATACAATTTTTTGTATCGCAACATCCCGTTTTACACTCTTTAATCGTTTGGTTATTCTTCTTTACTAAACCACAAATCTCTGAAGAATTTGAACAACGCGAAGACTGGTAACAACGCTCGTCAGTCATCAGATCTTCACCGACCTTGTAGTTGATCCTCAGACACTGATCTTTATATCCACAGCTGATACTATTTGTTTTACACGTCGTTCCTGAAAAATTGATAACATGAGCAGATGCATGAGGCCTGAGACGACTCGTAAGTCAATTATAGTGTACGGTATAAACAATAGCGGGAAGAGGGGAGGAAGCACACGGGAGCCTTAATTATTTTCTTATGGTAGAAAAAATAGCTAGAATAATATTATCACACTATGCATAATGTTATCGTTACTGTTTTGTGAAAATTATTTAAACAGTTAATAGCAAATTCATTGGAAACCTAATTAACGTCAACGACGAAAACAGCTAGTAATATATAATGAATGAAAAGATATAAAGAAAAAGTCCCGTTCCAGAGTCGTTTACAACGCGGAAAATCGCGGATATTTTGGGTAATGACTGACAGACATAACCTGCTGTCACTTTCCTCCGCCGAGGCCTTTGTGTGAGTAACTGAAATATCTACCCGCTTCTAATTTTAATACTTCTAGCTTACACAAAAGCATCTGCTGAGGATGTATCGACGTGCTTGCATCATTGTAGAAACGCAAGAAGGGCGCTAGGTGACATAGCGGACAAAATCTGACTATGCACTTCATCTTGAGTTAGATGAAGTAGAATCAAATATTAAATAATGATATACTGTTTTGAAAATAATCTATTGTTTGTTTATCCGGATCAACTAACTACACACTGTGTCCGAGTCCGAGCGTCACATATCCCATAGATTGGTACGTTAAAAAGTAATCAATTTGCAATTGACGCTTTGTAGTTATCACTATGATTTTTTTACGTACGTAAGCAACTTGTTATACGTGAAAAGGAGGTTGCCCTTCATACTTTTTTCGCTCAACGTTTAATTAAGGAAATTTTAAGAAAACATTGAGCAATCAATAGTTCCAACGGAAATAAATTTCATCTTCAACAGGTATACAGTGTATTTAGCTCTAGAATTGAGATAAATCTCAGAAGTAATACATATCTTACCTTTTCCTTGACATTGGTAGCATTTCAGAGGAGCTGGCGGGTCACAATTGTCTGCATCACAGCATGATGTAATACAATTAGTCGCACCTTCAAAAAGATTTCCAAAGTCGGTTCCTAGCTTCGAACAGTTAAGAGTTCCAGCGCAATGATTCAACGAAGCGCATGCTTCAAAAACTTTCTCGACGCCGTTTTGCATGAACAATACTCTACCACAAAAATCTTCACCAAGTGGACATTTTCTGCTCTCATCGTGATGAGTACATTTTGTGCCATTACCATAACACGCGGTGCAGTTCAGTGCAGACGAAGCTATGGTAAATAAACAGAAACAAAAAGTCCGGTAAAAAGTACGGAATGTTTGGGTTATTATAGTTATAAGGAATTTTCTAATTTTTTAAAGAATGAGTGATGTTAAAAAACTGAACATTTTTCGTGAACATCAAACGTGAAAAATATTACCATGCGTAAGTAAAAAAAAATCGCAGTATGTAAAAAATAATGCGTAAAGTTAGCAAAGAATGCATGAAATGTTTACGGATAGTAGCGGCGAGAATCGTAACTCTATACAACGACCGGAAAATAAATCATTTGAGCATATATGTATATAATTTACAAAGATGATTTAAACTATGAATATAGTCTAAATTGTCCTTCGTGATCTGCTTATAGCCTGGATAGAGTCATGTCGACTTTTTCTCTTTACCCAAATAGGCGACGTATATAGATCGGGATAATTATACATCATGCACTGCCAAGACATTTACACATCTCAAAATCATTTCATGCGCGCTTTGTTAATAATCTCGGGAAACGGAATCATGTGATCAACCTCAATCTTCATCTGAATCTAATCAATCAATGTTCATCTTCAACCTCAATCTGAACCTAATTATTGTCCAGTACTTGGTTTTTGTTCTGTTTCATGTCCTAGCGTGCCGGTGCATGGATGCGACAATGCATGGAACAAGGTAAGAGAAGATTGCTCAACATGCACAATACCTGCAAGAATCGTTGATAGGAAAAATATGTTGATTAAAACCATCTTCATTAATTCTTCTCTCTACTCCTATATTAAAATGTGAAAGATTGAGATTACTGACATATCCCGGGGAAGGGGGTGCGTGATGGTAATGTATTATGTAGGAAGTGTTTTACGTTTTTGGCGAGTGGCCTTATCCTAGTATAAATAGCACTAAAGTGATGAATACACGACAAAAAGCAGGTTCGTTATTAATTTAAGGGGTTTTTTTTAAATTGTGGCGCACGTTATATACAAAACATTGTACAAACACAATTCGTTAAACTCAATCGATTCGGCAAAAAAAACGGGTTGTGAGCGTTTGAAGCAGCTGCCTCTATAGAAAAAGTTCTAAATGACCTTTATAAAACTTATACAAAATTTACAGTAAAACTTGTAATGTTTGCACGTTTGCGGAATATATCGCGCCCACTGAGCTATATTAAAATTCTTGGAGGACTTGCATGCTCTCGCCCAAATCGTGTCGCCAAAAAGATGGCGGATTTTGAGCTTTGCTGATGCCACACGCCACATGGTTCCTTTTTCTTATGGTAGTTACTATTGACATACGCGATACAAGGTGAAAAACTGTGAGAAACTGGTGAAAAACTGTGTCCATCTCCGGCCTCCTGATTTTTTATATATTTTTGTTGTTCTTGAGCAGAAATATTGATTTTTTACTACTTTTCTTGCTTTTTGCAACTTGAACAAAGAAGTGGCTTCTTCCTTAGCAATGGTTGCTGCAACCAATGAACTAACCTAAGTTTTTTGTCTTTACACCCAGGTGAAGACTTTTGGACGTA